TAAAGTTCTCACTATTTCTGAATCTGCACATATTATTTGACTAGCAATTGGAATATTCCATGATAATTCAGAAGTACCTTTCTTTTTTAAATATTTTTGAAAATGGAAAGCATATGAAGCATTGCTTTTTTCGAGATTAGTTTTTAATTTGTGCAAGTTTGTCTCTATTTCATTCCTGAAAAGCAGTTCTTGTTTTGATTCTTGAATACTTCAAAGACTGCTTACACCTTTATATGCATCATCAAACTAGCGCAGAAACCTTATATTAGTATTTATATTAAAAATTTGGATAATAGAAAATATAAGCGCGCTCTATCAGAATATTTCATATAAATTATCAATTATATGTGGCCTGCATACAACTGATAATGCATATAAATGATATATTTTTCTTCGTAAATCAGAACTAAGTTCTACCCCTGTGTGTCTAAAGAATTAATGCAATTGATTTAAACCAGTACCATATGGTTATAGTACTAGCTTAGTTTGACTATAGGATATCTTTCTAAGCAATAATCATTTGGAAATATAAATCTGATAAAATAATAATCACAGAACTAAGTTCTACCCCATGTGTCTAAAGAATTAATGTAATTGATTTAAACCTGTGCTTACATAGCTATAGATACTCACTTAATTTGACTATAGGATATTTTACTGTGTAATCATCATTTGGGAATATAAATCTGATAAAATAATAATAATCACTAACCTTTAAAGAAATATCAACAATTTTCAAATACTTTTCAAAATTTTGTTGGTCAAGGTTTTTCACCTTATTAATCACATTATGAATTATTTCTCTCAGTTCTTCTTTTGAATACCATGTATTATATTCTATTAGTTAAAAAATAACAGAAAACGCAATAATATGATCTGAAGGTAAATAATGTAAAAAATTAAGAATTTTGTTAAATATTTCAGAAGAAAACATAATAAAATGTTAATAGTATATTACGTAAATAAAATAAATAATTATAAAGTGATAAATATCCTAATTTTCATTATACTGTTTTTTTATATGCCTTATAATTACATTTCTCAAGATATTAGCTAAGCAAAAGAATATGTAACTTATGTTAATACCAAAAGTTTCTATTTGAGAATAAGGACATGATTTACAAAAATATTGGGGATTATGAAAATTTAGATTTTATTTCACTCTCACTTCATTACTCAAAAATTTTTATTAACTACGAAAACATATTAATAAATTCTATTCTACTCAAAAAATTCATGGCTTTTATATGAGAAATTATTTTGTCACACAAGCAATATATGTTTATTTATGTCGCACATATTTACAAGATTATAAATACACTTATGTTAGTTAAAACTTAATTTTTTTTAAGATATTTCTACATTAGGAAATTTGATAGGTATTTGCTACTATTATTATAAATAGTACTCAGTCAAAATTTGTTTTTTGCTAATATTTGATATAAACTGAGTTTGTTACTCAAGATAAAATGTAAAATAATAAAAAAAAATTATATTTATTACATTGAAAATTATAAGATTTTTACAACAAAATTAAT